CTTGGTTCTAAGTTCAGAGAAAAGATTGTAAACTATCAGATTTCGAGTAGATGATAAGACGTTCTTAACTAAACATAGACACAGAGAGCAGAGAGAAGGTTAATGCTCTATTTATGGTAAAAAGATTAAACGTGTTAGTTTGGTTTGACAACCTCACGTCCATAAGTTCCTACTGTTTACCATATCTGGCAAACAGTAGGAACTTATGGAGAACAACTCCTACAGAATGTTTTCTATGCGGTTGAAAGTTGTACATGTTTCAGCATACCGTAATTTAGAAGACTAGCGATGTGTATCAAATCAAAAAGTCACCTTTTGCCGTCCCAACGTAATGATGAAGTGATTTATTCCTAGCTCCAGCGAAAACCTACGTCATTCCAGAGTCGTGTTTACACACATAATATCAAACAAAAATCAAATATGTACCTGCAAATGCATTGGAATGTGGGACTAGTGCCAGATACTTCACATCTCATCTTGTTGTCGATGAAATGTCTTACATAGTATTATTATTGTATTATAACTAAGGATACTGTGTAAATCTTATAAAATATTAAAAAAATATTGGCTGCCTGTGTTAGTCGAGTGGTGTTTTCCGAACCGGGTGAGATGTCATTGGGATTTTTCGTTTTTTCAAAAATTCTAGGTAATATCCAAGACTTTGGACCTGTGCAGGGTATATGGTATAGGTTCATCGCTAAAAAATATGATTCATATTACACTATTGGTGAAAACGGTTATAACATTGTAATTTGCAGTTCTTCATATCTCTTCGGGTATTACCTCTATAGGTGTTATGTTATGTCATAATGAACCAAAGCATATAGATGTTCTCAAATGAAACATATCGGTCTAAACAAATTGTGTAGTATTGTTATTATATAAATATACTAACTAATATCGCTATCTACATTTAATCCTAAAAACTAGACACAACATATTTTAAACCTACTGTATATTTAATGAAACCAAAATAATCTAGAACACATTTTTATATTTTCCCAAAAACTGTTTATTTTCCCGTCCGTATATAATAAGGAAGTCTGGGTTTTATTAGATTTAGATGTTTGTAAATAATATCGTCGTAATATTTTATGAACTTTTTTTCTAGGAACACTGAGAGCCCGCCAGCCGGACATAGACATCAACAGGTTAGTGAATTGACGCAAACATTTTGGCACTTTGCTCAAACTATAAGATTCAATATTATAGAAATTCCATTCATGAGTTAACCTACTTGTATTGAGATTAAAAGTTATTATCATGCGGTTTTTGCTCCTGCCTCAAGCATTTATACACACCGACTGTTTCGAATATTTTTGTCGTGAAAATATACCATTCACCTTCGAAATTGAACTAGGAAATAACACCAGTGAGTTATTTATTACCAACATTAAACCATCGATAAGTGCCTGTCCAAATATTTAATCCACAGAATCTAGAATCCCTGAAATAGCAATAACCTTACGTCAATTCTATTCCTAAGAATAACTACCTAGGCTAGACTGATTATAAGCCCCAGTTTTCTTGTTGAGAATACTTCTGTTTCCTTCATGTAAATATTTAAAATTTTGAAACCTTGGTGTAGCAATGTACTTTTTATTTACATTTCGCATTAGCAAACTCATACCTCGCATGCCAGTGATAATTCGCATTCAGCATGCATCGTTTGAAATTAAATATCTTCTCCTATTTTCAGAATAAAACTTTTACCGAACGAGGGGTTTCACAATCGACCAACAAATTATCACAGTCGTCGTTCCATATTAACAGATCACAACAGAAGAAATGATTATGACTATTATAGCAGCCGGTTCTCCAAGTTACGGCCGTCGGTGCACTTTCGGTACGATACCTCGCCACTTACCGAAGAGAAGGCGGGTAAAGTGTACCAACCAAGAGAAGACCCGCGGCTCTTCTATCAGTCTGATGCATATATTAAAGAAACTAATAGGAAGAACTTGAGCAATGAAGTATCTTCGATCTACTTAGGACGCGGAGTAGTACGAGCCGACGAAGTCAATCATAGAAGATCGTTGCCAATTCGTATGCGAGATAATGAGCTAAACAGCATCTATGAAGGTTATTGTTGTTAACACGTTTCGTACACCAAATTACTTTTTATTTCTAGGTCTGTAGTTTATAAAAAATATTTGTAAATACTTTCAGACACCTGCGTGAGATGTCCTCCTGACAGAACCTTAATTACCAAACCTGGTGTGGACCGCGCAGTGTTACAATACCCGAGGCTATTGTCATGTTCGGGAAGAAAGGTCCCTAGACATGTTCGTTTCGTCCACATGTATGGGCCTAAATTCGGATCTTTGCTGAAAGAGGGCTCACATATGATCGTCGGACGAATCACGCATAAAGATGAAGTCAGTTTATTTTTGTATATGGAAATCGTTACAATAAATTTTCACATCTTTCAACAAACATAATTTTGTATGTTCCAGATTCTCCAAACATGTAAAATGCAAATACATGTTCTGGTACAATCTTGTTCTGTACCCAAGTATTTAGTGTCTCATTGTGGAGCTGAAAATAAAGTGTGCAACTTTACATGTCGCGATCCTAAAGCTGAATTACGAGGACAAAGGACACTAACATGTGGTGACGACATGAGGTGGTCTGGACATTTGCCTGTCTGTAACCGTAAGTCATTAATCATTTTGCACACTTTGTTAAATTAATTAATTAAATTGTACAGACGCATCAGAATAACAAAGGGAATATCTTTGCTATGAACATTACCGCCGAGTCACAACAACAAGGCCGTGGGACATTTAGATGTTCTTTTATCATAGTGATTCATACCACGTGCACTTTACATATTGCAACAATTAAGTCGGTATTATGAATGGAACTGTTTAGATGCAAATCTCAATAATAAAATGAGCCAAAATATTATCGAGGAAGTAGTCAAACGTTTAGTTTAGTAGTCACTTCTGATAAATTTTATTTATTTGTAACCTGCATTAGGCAGGTACAGGCAGGAAGGCAGGTGTAGGTACTTACCTTCAGATTACTGTACGACTTGCCAAAAAAACATGTAATATCTGATGTTGTACCACTTTATTCGTGTACGCTTAAGCTTTCTATCTACTATATCGTTCAAATGAACCGAATTTATTTCACAAAACAATCGAAGAGCTAGTCGTAATTAACATATCCCTGCTATTCTTGACTATGTGCCCATTTTCTGCTAATAAACGATAGATTTCATAACATAATGGTCCTGCGGAAAATTCTGATTATTTACGCTCCTTCGCGGAAAGGAATGCGACTTAAGTACCTAAGTCATATTTCAGTGTTTACAAATATTATGTTTCTGCATTGTAGCTCGCACGTGGTGTCAACCACCGCCGCCCCCCGAACATGGCCGAGTCAGTTGCAAAGGTATGACGTCACCGAATGGTTGGGGGCTAAATGATGGCGCCATTTGCCGAGTCCGATGTGCTCGTGGTTGGAAATGGACCTCCCGATCTATGGCAGTGTGCCGACGTGGTTCTTGGACTTATAAATTAGGATGCTCGCCCATTCACACGAAATAGAAATAATACCATTTTAATTATTTAGCTTTATGATTAGACTAAGTAGATATAGGATCTAGTATGTAAGTAATTAATGTCTTTGAAGATTGGGCGTGCCATACCTATTTATTAACAATGTGAAGTGTTTGTATTGTACCTATCTATTCTATCGATAAAGTTAAGAACATGTGTACCTACCTAATTACGTAAGTACATAATTAATTAATGGCTAAGGAACTAAGAATTATGTTATTAGGAAATAATTAATTTTATATGCCTATTTTATTACTTACATGAACATGTTTCTTGTAGATTTTTTTTTATTTGATACTCACTAAAAGTACATAAGTACCTATATAATACAATAAATGTTTTCAAATACTATTATTATTTTATTCATGTATCTAATAGTGAACCCTCCCTGTAGTTCCTTGTTTTAGGTTTAACATAAAATTCCATAACTTAAAAAAATCTATTCTACTTAGTTTAGTACCTAGGTACCTACTTACTCAGTGTGATAATTACTGATGATGGCCAATTAACAGGGTCCAGCAGGCAGACAGAAGTTAAAACAAAATGTAAGCAGTAGTAGGTAGCAAAATTCAAAGAGACGCGGAAACTGAACTAAAGCCTACAGTGGCGCCGTCAAAATACTTTCACGTTCCGAACTTTCGAAGGCGTTCTGAAACACTTCATTGTAAAATAGTTATAAATAAAATAAGTCATAATTTTGTGAAAAAGTTCGTAGATATTATTTAGATAGTAAGTATTTACATTTTAAATTATAGTTAAACAGTGTAACCAAGGTGTGTACCATCATAATTACAAAATATAGGAATTTCTCTCATTTGTTATACTGTGACTAAACGTTTAACTAGGTAAATAAAAATTCTTAGAATAAAAAATATATGAAAAGTATTATAATTTCTGTAATGGCTCATTTCTCAATAGCTCTTTTTTGAAATGTTTGTTTTAATATTTTAAACTAAAAATACTTGGTTAAATACTCTAAGAAAATTACCACTATGAAATTTTTTTTATATGGCAATCTATTAACTGCTGTTTCGTTCAGAATCAGAATATTTAGTTTAAAAATTATAAAGCTACTTTAAGGATTTTAATACATTGTAGGAAGAATATTACATATATGTAATTACTTAGACATTTAATTCTTTACTAAATAATAATTAAATCACACATCATTATTGACATAATTTCAAATATATCCGAAATGATCGGTTGATCCCACTCTTGTGGTTTCTGAATGAAATATTTTTAAAAATAGAATCAGTGTGACATTTGCGGCCGTTAGATGTTTTGAGTTCGTCCATTCGTCAACCGGATTGTTCAAAGAAAAAAAGAAGTAATTTGTCGAAACGTCTTTGCGAGATTAAAATGTTGACTTTGGTTTAGTAAAATTGTAGCGGACTTCACTAAATATATTACAGTACTATATTTACTAAAACAATGGGTATCAATACCAGTAAACCCAGCAATGAAGCACCAACTGTTGCTTCGGCAAAGAAGGAGTTGAATACTGGTGATAGTTCTGATCCCCGATCTCCGACACCAGAAATCACACGAACTCCTCTCCACGTAAGTATTTTAGCATCTTTGTTTGGAATTATTCGAAAATCTAAAAATAACACATGGAGTTCCCTCCATTTTTTTTTGTTGTGGTCATACATCTGATACATAAAATTAGCTAACTTTTTCTTTGGAATTTCAGAACAAAACTACCGGTAAACATAACATTACTAAAAACGTTGATCTGAGGAAGACTTTTGAGAATGCTAATGGCGAAGAAAAGTTGATACACAATAATCCCATTCTCTCAGCTGTAATAAAGAATCACCTGCAATCCTATGACCCGCGATCACCTACCCAGGATTTTGAACGCACGCCTATCATAATTTCAAAGTCAGATGATGTTCCTAATGACAAGAAATTGCTAAGATTGCAAAGTGATAACTGTGCTAGTCCTGTACTACGGCCAGAAAATGATGACAGTTGCGACAGCTGTGCTGAAGCTAGTGAAAAGAGTCCAGAATTAATGGTCACTCGAAACTTATGTGACGGATTTAATAACTTTACATTAGATGACACTATTAAAGATGCCGAAGAACCTCTTTGCTCTTCCACAGCTTCCAATGAAGCCATAGAGAGCAATATATCAAGTGAAAGTCAACAAAAACCAACATTTTTGGAAACTAATTTTGATTATATAGAAAATAACAATAAATTTGAAGATAGTGAAGAAAATATAGATAGCAACGAAGAAGATGAGGCTGATGTCCCAGTATTCCAAATTCTTGATAATGATCCCAGGTCTCCATCAATAGGTATTGAGAGGACTCCTATAGTTGTTGCTAAAGTTGAAGAAGACTCAAATGTTGAGACCATGTCTGATGATACTTTGATCAAAGTCTTGCAAAATACAAATACAGAACTGCGTCAAACAGGTATCAAATCTGACAAGAATGAAGGGCTGCTTATCTATGAAGATGATGCACCTAAACTCAGTGATACACCAAAGAAATCCAAGTCTGCCAGTAATAGTGGGTCCCGTACTCCACTGTCCTGCATGAAGAACAAGGCTGATGTTGGACATACTAGATCTAAATCGGCAAATACTTTGTATGATCCCAAGAACCAGAAGAATGTGTTGTCAAAAATTCCTAAGAGAGTGTCACATATTCCACGACTGAAGTGTTTGTCAAAGCAATCCAACTTGGGACCTGCAGGAAGTAGTGTTTCTTTGAAAAATATATCTAAGGCCACCGCAATTGGTGGAGATTGTGAGAACACCCCGCCTCATTCTCACCGTGATCGCTGGGACAAGGACAACAGCATTGTTCTCTGAACTTGGTTTGTGGCAACAACAGCAAGTATGCTGTAGAATATTCTTCAACATTGAAACTGTTTTATATTTACTATTGTTTATTGTGACGTGACTTTTGAATTATTACATTGCTCTAAATGAATAATTTTCTTGATATAACATCATGATTGGCTAATATTGTTTGAAAAATTTGACATTATTGTCTACAATAAGTAATAAACTATTATTGATCTTCAATAAAAGAAACATATCTTGTAATGTTATCTTTTCTTAGAATTGAGTGTGATGATAATAGAATATTGAGACATTAAATAAATGTATTTAGACCATTAAAAATAGCAACTATTTTAAAACTATAATCAACAGTCATTTCCTAATATCCTTTAAAATAATCACCACAGTAAGGTGCGGCGCCAAAGTTCACAAACAATGGAGATACAATATTGACTATTCACTCAATGCCCTTAAAGTTCAGTCAGGGTCTTTTCGTGTGACAACTTTGTGTTTGATTCCTCGATTGTGTGCTCTCACACTGATCATAAAAACGATATTTAACAAACACTGCATACACCATCTCACTGGGGTAGGCAAAAAATACTCTGCGTATTTTAAGTTTTGTTCCATCAATCAAGTCCGATAGTAAGTGAAATAAGTAGGTATTATCAAAATTTAAAAAAAGTTATAGGAACCTCGTAAAATGAAGGCCCCTCTAGAGAATTCCATCTTTCTAGATCTTTTGCTGTATCTACGCAGCGTACTCCAGCAACAGGTAGGATATCCGATAGGTAGTAGTAACGAAATAAAAAATGCATTTATGATTTCAAATACTTTTAATTGCTATTCTCACAACACTTAACACATACAATTTGCGTTAAATAAGAATATTGCAAACGCAACACATCGTTTGGAATAAATAGTAGTTAGGTATATAAATAACAAAATTATGCAAATCACAATAATTTCATATATAGCAGTACAGCAACGCTAGTATCTTGGAATGGTTAAAATTGAACACCAAAAAATATGGAGATGGTTTGGTAGTTACACAAAAAAGCCCCAAAAATATAACAATAAGAATGCATTCCTCGAAAAGTCTACATTCAAAAAATAATAAATATTTTAAAAAGCTGGCTCTTAGAAAGTGTATATCAACATTTCGAGGTGATATTATATTCTAATAGACGAGTATTTATTAGCGATAGTACTAAAAATATATATCTTTAAATATAGAAGAACCTCTCAGCGACGGTTTTCTTCAGAATCCTCGAAGAACAGCTATAAGCAAACATATAAAAATATAATTATTGTACATTTTGCATGAAAAATTCCACAGTTACAGTTACAGTGAGTCACAGAAATCCGCCTTAGAAGTTAAGTAAAGCTCAAACTATCTTCATTATTTTATAGCAGTGTATTTTGAGGATAAGTATTTTTTTAAAGTCTGATTGTGTTAAGTCGTACCCAAAAGAGTAAATGGGTTTAAATATGCTAAAACTTAAAATAAATCAGAGAATAGTTGCCCTTTTACGGCACTGCACTACATGAAATTAACAATAGATTTAATATTAACTTTTTTACTAATTTCTAAGTACTTTTTATCTATAGACAATTGCACACTAGTTTTAATATAGATTTTTAAAGAAAACAGCTCAAATTGTATAAAATTTGGCACAAAAAATGGGCGGTTCTTTTAAAATAATAGACTATAGCAAGACTACATTTTTAATGGATTATTATGGAATGTTAGGAGTCCCCATTTTGTCAAAGATGCTACAAATACTCACAAAAATTATATATTTAAATGCTTAATAGGTATTTTGAGAATGGAATTGGTTTACTAACATAAATAACATTATAATTTGAACTACACACTTATGGAACTAATTGGTAAGCTTAGACTAGGCTCACTAGGAGGCTTTAGATAGATACTGTCTCCAACCTAACCTGATGGCAAAAATTTGGGAGTTTGTAAAAGCAATTCCACATAGTAATAATACACAATACATTACAGACATTAAGATTCTTTAAAAATTCTAATAAATAAAGCTTTGGTAGCTTCTTATTATATAGGATCAAAATATAATATGCATTATTATACTCATTAATCAAAATGAGTTTTAGACACATCAAGACACAACTTTGTTTGAAAATCTGTAAAAATATATGCCATAAGTGATTGCCATCTAACATTTATAACATCTAGTAAATTTGAACAACAACCACCATAAACATGTGACTTCTAGACACCTTATCATTTTGAACAAACTTGACCATTTTATGGCAATACAATACTGGGTACTTAAACATTTAATAGGAGGTAGTTTTTCATAGATTTGTTTTCAATATGTATATTGGGGCCAAATATTAGTGTTAAACACACAACTAACACCAATTTAACAATATTATAAAATGAGGATATCATTGTATGCTCATTTGTTTGCATTGATAGGTAATATCATGCTTCATGCAGATTGTTCACTTGTCTGCCTCAGATTCTGCTTCCGCATCTGTGAGGAATAATGTTAGTCGGGTTATAAACACACTTCAAAAAAAGAACACACCAACACATGTTATAGTCTATGTATGTTAAAATATAGAGAACTTATCTGCTGTTCAATTTTTCACTTGAAAACTTGGTTAAAAATATAATATAGCTTATTAGTACAAGACATAATAACTTTTGTAGTATAGTATTAACATAGCAATGGTTTTCAAACAAAATTTATCAAAAGCTTCGCATTCATAGGTGTTTACAGTATAAGCTTGTAATGTTTAAGTTCATGAATTAAGTATTTCACAGCTATGATTGTTATTACTTTACTATATGAAAAAATGTCCTACACCTATCTATCTATTACAAGTTAAGTATATTCATAACAATATGATAGTATCCCTATCTCTAATATGTTATCTGGTTATTTCATGAAGAGGTTAATTGATAAAGCACTTTATTTGCTTTGTTAGTTAATTAATATTTCTGATTACCTCTTCTGATAACTTCACCATACTGAAAAATATGATATCAATTTTAACTAGCAGACTTAACTACAGTACAGTATATTTTTTTTAAATTATAAAGTAAATTTTGTTAAGCCAACTTAATGTACTGCCATGAAACTATCATGTTTCAGTTTTTTCTTGTTGCTACTTTTTCGAAATACTTTATTTAATAATAACTATTTATTCACATGGATATGTCTATCCATCGCGTTTTTTCTTGTGTAATAATAATGTCTCTCCATATACATAAACGGACATGTAACTATTTATAAGAGATACGCCGAATGTTCGGCCGAACATCGTATTCAGTACATTAGGTATACTTTTTGATGTTCATACTCGGCCAAATATTCGGCTGATTTGCAGAATTATTCGTTAATAATTTAAAGTATTGAAAATTAATCATAGTTGTACATATTTTGGTAAATAAAAGAAATGCTATGTATCAAAATACATTGTTATGAATAGAACATCATTCAGTCTACTTTGACAAAGTGAAAAACTTAAAAACATATTGTTCTGGCGTAGTCGACGACTGGCATATAGTCGTCATCAGATCACCGATCAATTTGTGTTAGTTGGACATGGACTGCGACAGGGACATCCTGTATGTATATGTAAATAGATCTGATTGATTCGGCCGAATATTCGCTTTGGTAAATTTTTGACTGAATATTCGGTCGAACGCACATTTGGCGCATCTCTACTATTAATGCAAAATAACTATCATGAGACAATTAATTTTAAATAAATGACTATTGAAATGCAACTACAACTAAAAGGGGACAAAATGCACATTCTTTAAATAGGTACTATAATACAAAATCAACATACCTCGCTCCTTTTCTTCCATGTTTTGTGATATGAAATCACGCAGTTCTGAATATGCCTTGTCCAGATTATCATTCAGAATTATGATGTGGAAATTTCCTGGCTCCTGACCTGTAATCATTGCATCAGATGTGTTATATTTTAACACTCATTGTAAACATAGTACTTCATTGATAATAACACAAGTTGCGTAAGAAACTGTTATTAAATTTATTTCTTTGAAAACAATATGTCATTAATGATGAAATTGTTTATTTGTGAGTGAGAAATTAGAGTAACTTTAAACTGTCAAACACCAAGCGGTCACCGGTGACCGCGACCTATTGTTCTTTAATTGTGTCTATAAAACCGGTACTCAACGAGTTAAACTTTAAAAATGTGTTAGTATATTGCATTATTGCTAGAAATAAATACTCTAAATGTAAACAAGAAGTTGTACCAGTAACAAGTAAATCCAATTAGAGTTGTGCACTTTATTGATCTATCACGACTATAAAACATAAGAATACTGTATTTTACCATATTGAACTACTGCATTGAACAATTTTAAGACTTAATGCTTAATATACAGGCTTAGAATGGTACACTTACTTCGGTGAATAGTATCTAATTACAATAGTTCTGCATTTTTAACTTACCATATAAGATTTCTTTGCGAGCAGTATCCAATCTCTTCTTCAAAGCTTCTTCCTCCTCAGTGTTACGTGCACGGAGTCGCCTCTCTAACTCCTCAATGGAAGGTGGCATCACAAAGACCAGTAGTGGGTTGAGATCAGTTTTCTTCACTTGTTTGACACCTTCTATTTCAATATCAAGCACACAGATTCTTCCACTACATTGCACATCATTGACCGCTTGTTTACTGAAAGTTTCAAAATAGCTTTGGTTAGTAGGTCAAGCACATGTAATGAGGGTAAACAAAGATCAGGGTCTTCTGGCTGATACAAGTCGTTCATACAAGTTAAATTACATTGAAAAATATGATATCAATTTAGATATTAATGTGGAATATCAGAAAAATTCATGATACAAAACAATGACTTTATGAATAAGACAACCTCGTTTTTGGCAATATGCCAATGCGCCCAAAACAACAAGCACATGGCCAACTCAGATTCTTCACAAAACAAATTATATTACCTTGTTCCATACATGTTCCCACTGAAAGTTGCATTTTCTATGAATTCTCCTCGAGTTATAGCCGCGGACATTTCGTCTTTGGTAGTGAAGTGGTAGTGCACACCATCTTTTTCGCCTGGACGTGGATTCCTTGTAGTATGCGACACACTGAAGCCAAATTTATCCGGGAATTCTTTCAGAAGACGCTTCAATAAAGTACTCTTGCCAGACCCCGAGGGTCCGCACAGCACCAAAGGACGAGGACCTTTCTGCACCATTCTTGAAAAAACTAAGAACAAAATTTAATAACTAATTAATGATTATTATTAAAAGCCGCATAGGTTAATGTTGAAAGGATATGTTTAAAAATATCTTACATCTGATTAGAACCGTTTTGGCAAATTTAACTATAAATTAATTTAAATAGTTGTTGACGGCTAATTGACCCGTTTATAATTCAAAGTAAATGGAACAAAATCTGTGCTCACATTTATCGCGCAACGAGTTTTATATTACTTCTGTGTTCAACTTCAATGTTCTGAAATTCTGAATTATTGACGTCTACGTAATTGTCAAAAGTCAAATGCAGTAGCGTGAAACGAAATGAATCAACAGAAAATAGTTATATTTAAATTAAATACTAACCGTACAGCTGCTTTCAGGTTATAATTTTGTTAACATTGATCTCCAATTTCATGCATAATGCGTATAGTATAAAAAAGCGTATTTGTTATTTAATATTTAACAGATAACAGCAGTAGTTTTCAAATATGTTTAAAATGAAAACCGGAACGTTTTAAAAAATAAAAGAAAAGCAAAAATGTATGTCTATGATAAACAGTTGATATTATAATTGTAATTTTATAAAAAATATTTCTCATATAAATTCTAATTATAAGTAACAAAATATAATAATGATCTTTATTACCAATTGATATCTTTGATATATTGATAGATTTTATAAAAATAATATGTGGAGTTGAGAATATCAACCGAACTAGCATAGACAACTACAAAAATGTCAGCGGATATTGGTCAAATTGTAAATTTATACTTAATAATAAATTTATGTTACACTTCTACTAAAATGCAATGATAGATTTATTAACATAAATTAAAAATAAGAAAAGTGAATTAAGTTTATTGGATAGAATGTGTCGGTTTTTTAAAATAATTTTATCAGTAATTGTTCATACTTCCGGGTAGCAGCTGTGAGCCAATCAAAACCAAGATAACGTTAACCAATAGCAGCAATCTGTTTTGGTCTTTGAATTATCAGCCGTTATTTTTGAGACGGAGTGTCGAGCAAGCGTAGTAAAAATTGATATCAAAAGGTTTGGATAATAGTGGCACAGCTGGGTGAAATACAACGACTGTGCCAAGATAATATCAGTTGGTGGATCTGTAACTGATTTGCAGACGAGTTAATCAAGAAAGGACATTAAAATGGAGATCCAGATGAGAAGACACCGAACGGTACTAATCACATAATGAATGAATAGTCGTTATTTAATTTATTGTTATTTAAAACTAAGTGCTGATTTAAACGAATGTAATTTGTTTTTACCTACTAGGCTCAGATCCAGGACCAGGAAAATATTTATGCTCTAAAAGGCAAAGCGAATGTGGCGATTCCTGCTAAAAAGCAAGGTTTGACTGTGCGTGGAGCGTTAGGGGATATAAACACGAACGTTCAAACTCATCGTGAAATCGGTGGTAAAGTTGCTGTGGCTGCTGCTGAGTTTGAGAAGAAAGCTACGCTAAATCGGGCTGTTTTACGAAGGTAAAATTTCAGATACCCACTATACAATATTGTTACTACTATCAGCTGGTCATTTTGTATTGCATGGTGATATTTCTAACGATGTTTTTAAAATTAGGTTTATTGAATTTTTTTTTATATTAGGGTTATGTTATTATTGTGTTATTAATTTGTAGTCCATTGTTTTACTTGATTAATATTTCACAGTGCAGTAGGTAGATGTAATTTTTTGTATTTTCAGCAATTACAGCCATGTTCAGTCAAAGGTGGATACTGGTTTGGCAGCTAAAGCGGCGCCGGTGGTACAGCCGTCGTCCAGACCTCCACTGCGCCGAGAGGAAAGCACTGCTGGCCTTGCTGTCAGAGCTGCGGCTCGCAACCGGGTAAGTTAATTTTTTTATTTATTTACTCTATTTGCAGGTAATGTGATTTAACAGCTCTTATTTATTGAATAACGGATTGGACTACATAAATTAATAGATTTTTAAGTAATAAGCTATGAGTAAACATTGGAAAGTTAAACTGCACTTTACAACCACTTGTCAAAAATATTTGCTTTATGAACAGTGCATGTAGAAATCTATCTAAAATTCAATAATAATATTTTAAGTTATAGTAATCAGTAAAACTGAGACAAGATTATGTCAATGTCAACATGCAATATTGCTGTTGTCTAATGCTTTGTGGATGAAATGTATTATCATGAAATAAGCCATTTGTTCCAAGATAACATCAAACAGTAATTATTTACTGTTACTAGTAGATGTCACAAATCTATTATTCCTACTTTATTAAAAATTTGTTCACAGGCAATCTTGAAAGACGCCCAGAACAAACCAACTGAGCTCAAAGAATCGATAAACATTTACATTCAAACTAAGAAGTTGCAAGAAGCTAAGAAATCATCTAAGCTGCCAACACTAAAGGAAAACAAAGAAATCAAAGCATTGAAGCCAATTCTCAAAGAATCTACTGAATCACTTGGAAAATTGAAATTAGAAGAGGCTTATGAGAAGACTTCAATCATAGACAAGAAGAAGGTTGAAAGCTATGCGGCCTTATTGAACTCTGATTTGAATGATACACCTCAACTGCCTGATGATATTGAAGACATTGATGCTGGAGACAATAACAGTCCGCTGCTTATGTCTATCTACATTAAGGATATCTACAACTATCTGACTGAGTTGGAGATTAAGTATCCTATTGAAGTAGACCATTTGAGGAAACAGGTTTGTACTTCATTTATTTTGTATTCATACCATAGCCATCTATGGTCAGCAGGAGCAGACTTCTTCATTACTCACAAGATCAGTTTACTACTGACAGACAATAGCTCCAGTAACACTCCTTTATGTCATTAACATCTACACAACTATTGGTCAAGTTCAGGAGGTTTGCTTGATAATATTAGCTACTCATGCTTTTAAACAAATTACAGACTTATTTACCCATTAATTTACTGAAGGATTAAAAATTAAATGTTATTATTTTTATTCCAGACTGTGATAACTGGAAAAATGAGGGCAACTCTTATTGACTGGCTGGTGGAGGTACAGAGGCAGTTCTCTCTGGTGCTGGAGACATTCCACTTGACTGTTGGAATCATAGACCGATACTTACAGGTAAAGATACATAGCTTTACTATTTGATCACAATAGTTCACTTTTTACATACGCAAATTAACCATGCATGTAAATGCATTATTTTTCGCATATTGTTCTCTCAACAATATGATATTTACTACTTACCCAAATGGTAGATCTAGATTTTTATAAAGTTCTAATGATAGTCAGTATCTCTAAATATTATATTTCGTCTTACATTACAGGCGGTACCAAATGTTCAACGGAATCAGCTGCAGCTTGTCGGCGTGACTGCGATGTTCATAGCCAGCAAGTACGAAGAGATCTACGCTCCTGATGTCGGCGACTTCGTTTATGTGACCGACCACGCGTACACCAAAGCTGATGTGTTCCAGTGTGAAAGAGAAATCATGTCTAAACTAGGCTTCTGCCTGGCTAGACCTATTCCACTTAGCTTCTTGAGGAGGTAATTTATTTTGGCTAGACTTTGTACATAGAAAATTGGGCTAGATTTTGCAAATTTTGAGCTGAGTCTGCAAACTTTTTAACTGGCCTTTATATTGAAATTGTTATCTTGTTTCCAGGTTTGTGAAAGCAGCTCATGGAACATCGAAAAATCATCATTTAGCCAAATATTTAGTAGACCTCAGCCTTGTTGAGTATACAATGGCGCACTACAGACCATCGGAACTAGCGGCGGCCGCCATCTGCCTCTCTCTACACCTTCTGTCGGGCAAGAAGCTTGAAGAGGTGTGGACGCCGACTCTGTCGTACTACTCAGGATATAGCCTCGAACACATTGACCCTATCATTAGGAAACTTGCCAAAATCGTCGTCAATGTAGATAACTCTAGATATAAGGCTGTATATAACAAGTATTTGGACATATCATTAGCTAAAGTATCCAGCCTACACCAACTTAGAGGAGAAGCAATCTATGAACTGGCCAAGATCCCATCGAGTTCCTAAGCTTATGAATACTAGTATTGTATTGTCGCAGTATGTTGTGACAAGTCGTGTATTGACTACGTTTTGTAAGCAGTGTTCTGTGACGGCGGACTGAATTTGATATAAGGTTTGTTTTAGGTACCTGGTTTGTTGCTAGTTTTAATTTAGAAATAGTTTAATTTTTAGACGTAACTTTGTAATAATGAGACTAATTAAATGTTGTTGACGAGGTAATTATGTGTATTTATATTTTCCAATATCTTTAACAGTAATCTTGTTTTATATTTGTGTCTCTCGCCAATGAATTATGTATGTAAGGCGTAGAAGCAACAAACATTGTAATTGCTGTTATTGTGACGTTTTAATTTATTGAGATTTGTAAAATCTCCCCATTATATAAACATGGTGGTTTTCACGGTGGAGTAACAAATATGTAGATTTTACGTAGCATAATATTATTTCGTTTTAGACCATAAACCTGACAATATTGAACCAGTAAATTGTTAACTGACATTCGATAATGCACTCCAATCACCGCATTTTAAACTGATGTAAAGGTACTAGAATAATATATTCTAATTATTCACAGGACGCCATAGTAAGATATTCGTATTTTCAGGACTCTCATTATAAAAAGTTTCGGACATGTAATTTTTTGTATTGATATTTTTAAGATAAGTTTGTATAATTGTATTGTGATTGATAGAATATTTTGATTGAATGTAATTTGATAATCCTGTGATTAGAATATATGATGTAATTGTTGATAAATAAATCGAGCTTTATAATAACTTTCGTTTTTGTATTTGGATTGACAATGGCAAAAACTCTTAAAAGTCGGACTAGGCGACAATTTATTATGTTTCCAACTTACTGTAATTGAATGGAAACCTTAAGCATTGTATTGATAGAAAATTTAAATTATCAAGTATTTTTCTAAGCAATGCTAACTATGCCCTGTGACGAAATCAACTGTACTTTATTGCACAGTGCGGCGTGGGTATGGAACCGTCGTACGCGACTCCAGTGCCGCGGGATGGATTCTCTCACATAACAACTATTTGAGTGTAATGTCTATATGAACTTTTATGTTAGTGAACGCATCCGCGACAGGAGAAAATACTAGGATTTTCTTTACATTGTGATAAAACAAATTAATAGTTTTCTTGCATTTACTGTATCACTTATTACAAGTAACGATAGTGTTTGTCGTCATAACGAAATACGTTATAACATGCTTATGAACTGCAATAAATAAACATTAAAGTTTTTGAATCAATAATCTTTATTTACTTACCAAAATGTACTTAGGAACCTATTTGCTTACGCTCTAAGATTGCTAGGCTTGCATTAAAACCAGTGGCCCACTGTAATAAAATATATCCTTTTATTACATTCACCATTCACTCTAGGTACAGTGTAATCTGGGTTGTTCACACAGAAATACTAAAAAACAGGATGTGCATCACGCATACAGTATCTATGGTGCTCAATTGTTGTTCAATTGTTTCAATGAACACTATTAGTGTGGTTACACATAGGTATGCTCGATGCATGTCGTGGAGAACCTAACGGGTTACCGGGGCTCCGGCTCTACGTGCAGGAGAAGGAACGGGGTGATTTTTACCAGGCTGGAGCAGCCACTCGATGATATTCCCCCCTTAAAAATATGCGTGATGCATGACATACCTACTACTACTACAATCATAAAAGTCAATTTTAAATTTTAAGTTGGTTAAGTACAAATTATAATTGAGTAGACTTATAATATTCGGGCGATCTACAAAAGGTAGCAAATAAGTTTTATGTCACTACAAATTTTACCCTAATATAAAAACACTAAACTTTATTTTTAGTTTACAGATATAATATATGTAGGAATTAGGTAGGTTACTAGCAGAATAACTGCATGCAAGTCAGCAAGTCATGTGCATCATGTCAAGGATTGAGAGATCTTTTCACAGTCTACAGTCATTACTAAGTTTCCTCACTGAATAGAATTGACAGTTTAATTTTAATTAAAAATTGTTTTCATACTCTGTGAATCCAAGACGATTCTTATGACGTTTTAAATTTAATCGATGCCCTGATTTAATAGGAAATGAGAGCAGATTTCCTGAGCTTAATCTGTGATCTTTTGACGCCGCCGCAAGAGGAACAAAATTGACAGGTCTCATTAAAGTTGGACAGTTTCTAATGGTAAAGTAGAAGATATTAAAGATGATTGCTTCGACACTGAAGGTTTATTGTAGCTTTTTATAGCGCTCATTAAACAGTTGTTTAATAAGTTTGAAATATGCTACAAACTTGCTTTTGAGTTATTGCGTTACGAAAATGGGTATTGGTGAAAATATCTTGAAACTGATATTTTACAAATCATTTGCTTCGTTTCAGTTGTAGGGCCCAAATATTTTGGAAATATATTTTAGACAGATGAGAAGCAAAGAAGCCATAAGAAATTGATAGATATTCAATGAAAGTAAAATGATTTTAAAAATCACTTATCTAAATTTGAGCTAGGCTGCGCTGCAAATGTAGCAATGTGAGTTTAAACAATATAAGAGGGGACTTGCCTCGTACTTACTATTTTTTTAAATGTAATTATTATTCTAAGGCCTTGTTTGTAAGAAAGAATGTTTATAACCACCATCGAAAAAAAAGTAAAATGTGGAACGTGCATTTTTAAATGGTAGTGCTGTGGTGTGTCCTGTGTGCTATGTCCAGTGTTGGCGGACAGCCGGCTGTGCTCGGACACAGCGTTTTCCGCAGCGCAGCCCTCTCTCCGCAAATTCGAAGAATTTATTAACGCTTGGCGGTTAGCCGAATCGTTTTTGTTTCACCTTTTTTCACTGACCGTACTCTTGCTGCAGCGAGACTAGTGTAAAAACAGAAAAATCTGAAGGTTTTTTTTTAATTCAAACCGTTTTCTTTTTGCAAGCTTTCACGAGTTCGTTCGTGTGTTGGTAATAGCGTATGCAGATGATATTAGCTTTTATTAGTAAGAATTTATTATTTAACTAATGAAACGCGAAAAGTGCATTGAAATGGTAGGAAAAAAAACTAGATTTTTTGAAATTGTTTTGCGTAGTGCATAACAGCGATAGTCCTGTAAAGTTATTAACTGAATTTATCGTAAAGGTAAGTGCCAATTGGTGCAAACTCGCACTAAAGCGTCATGGGCAATAAACAGCGCAGTTATCTAGTTGGTGGCGGATTGTTAATGCAATAGCCGGTCCATGTTGTTGCATTTTTGCAACAAGCGCGCTGCGAAATGTATGCACATAGTCGTTGTAATGCCGCGAAAGCCTGTCTCGTAAATATTTCGCGCACGCAATTTACAGCTTTGGGAATCCTCTTAACGGAATACAGGGGCAGTTAGTGAGCCGGGGGTATTTATAATTTTAACGACGACCACACTGAACCGCTATTGTTCTTTAGATTACTGCTGGAATACACATTTATTTGCGTCGTTAAAATATTTTCTTAACAAAGTGCGTATTGAATAGAACACTACAAATTAATAGTCTAGTAGCTGTAGCATTATTAAAAAGTCTGTGCCTACTTTTTATTTAACTACCCACTTACCTAATAGATAATATAGATTAAAGGTAAGTAGGTAGCCCCACTTTTATGAAGGTAGTTCGATAAAAGTTTTCCTTAGCCGCGATGACTGCGGTCGCTAGTCACTGACTACAGAAGCTAAGTGATTTGTTGTTAAAGACTTCATCATCATCATCATCATCATCAGCCCGTGTTCGTCCACTGCTGGACACAGGCTCTCCAATGGCACGCCACTGACTCGGTTTTCAGCTCTTCTCATCCAACCATTGCCAGCTACCTTGCGGATGTCGTCACTCCAAATAGGTGCCCTACACTACATTTGCCTAGTCGCGGTCTCCACTTTAGAACACGTTTACCCCAACGGTTATCGGTTCTTCGACAAATGTGACCGGTCCACTGCCACTTCAGCTTACAAATCCTTTGAACCAATAACTTTGGTTCTCTGTCGGATTACGTGTTTCGGATTCGATCCTTTGAAGAGACACCGAGCAAAGCCCTCTCCATAGCTCGCTGCGGAACCTTTCATTGGTGTACCAATCGCACTGTCAGTGTCCACGGCACAGCTCCATAAATCATTACTGGTAGGACGCACTCGTTGAAAACTCTTGTCTTCAGGTTTTGCGGTATCTGTGACGATTGAATTTTCTATACGCTGCCCAGCCAAGCTGTATCTTTTTATGGGCCTCCTTCTCGAAGCTGTTCCTACCAAGTTGCAGGGTTTGTCCCAGGTACATGTATCCTTGAACAACTTCGAGAGGCGACCCGTTCAGAACAATTGTTTCCGGAAGGACATTAAAAAGACTTAAAAACTTTGACAAAATAAAAGAAGTGGTGGTTAATAAGGCGTATTACTGTATGATTAGTGTTTAGTGTTAAGTGTGTGGTGTCAATGTATGTGTTAAGAAAACACTTTGTGCGATAATATATCGCGTCATAAAACTCTCAACACAAAAGCAAAATGAAAAATACAAAAGTACAAACTTCCTGAACTGTAGATATCAGCTTAAATATCCTGGCGTTAGTTTTGTCTGGCAACAAAATGTTTCATATTATTGTCGTGTTATACTTTTCTACTTAACGTCGAGTCGCAAGTGTGTCGGTGTCTCGGTGTCTCCAAGTAACGGTGCTTCCGTTGTTTCGCCAACTTTTAACGAGTTTGTCGGACACGGCTGGAAGTGCAGAAGTGCCGCCGCCGACGACGCGGTGGCGAGACTCCACACCCACATGTTACACCCTGTACGACATTTTATTATATTTTTCCCAAATAACCCTGACATTGTTGTTAGATGCTGAGAATACAAGATAATAATTATAAAGTTTGTGCTGTATTTCAACGTGCAAAGTTATTTCATTTTCATCTTGGTTTTTCTTAATAGGTGCTTACTTAAGTGTTGTATACAATCGATTCATTCTCGATTTATTTACAAAATCCACAACAATGCTAGGCATATACCTACTTA